TATTGTAAAATCTTCGAACTAATTAGGTATACGGAAGCCTTTGATTTACAATTTTATAAATATTATTTAGTATAATCACAAATTAACAAAATATCATTCTTAATCGTAATTTCAATCACATCTTAATAGATTATTGTTTTTAAAATGAGTTTTGCTCCTCCGAGTACGAGAATGAATTCAAAAGCCCCTCAATTTAGAATTAGACTATAATCAAAATAGTTTATTGCTCTTAACACAATCATTCCATTGCTCCACAGCGAAATCTATAGAATGATTTGTCTACGGTCTATTTTTTTCTTCTACTTTTATTAAGAAAGCTAATCGATTGTACGAAGTTACTTCGTTCGTACTTTTCTACCAGTTCCATTTCCCGCGTTTGGCCAAGGAGGAGGAGTATCTTGCGATGCTCCGCCTATGATATCACCTGCCTTTCCTAATATGGAGGACTGGGACTCGGGTTGTAGCATGGGATTGGTCCGCTGGGAGCTTGATTGATGGCCTCGTAAATACACTACGCTGTGTGAGGTAAGCAGTGCAATTTTTTAACAATTTGATAAATTTTGTTATTGCTGTTACACAATATAGTTACACCTACTTTCTATTCATGAAAAATATTTACTTTAATTTCCTCTCTCAAGTTAATGAAATGATATTTCTTACTGACTTATACACTGATGTACATAGTTGTGTATTTGACTACGTAGTACAGGGTCGGTCCACAACAAACATTGCAACAGCAACTACTGCGCCGCACTACTTGAGAGCGTGAATTTTTAGAAGAATTCTGCCTGTAGTGAGAGCGAAGGCCGTCCGGGAAGGCACAGGGAGCGGGGGACTGTGGTGCGAGAGTAAGGCGTGCTTGTGAAGGTGGCCGACTCCAGCGATGAAGTGGTGGAAATAGTCGATAGAATATGGCCTAAAATGACCATGGTGAGTGTAATTTCTTTCCTCTTTGGGTATTTCGTATTGAATTATCTTACGGACTCGGCGAATGCGGTCATTTCTGACGTTTGCAGTGCATTAGAAGTAGCCGAACGTGAGCATGCTTGGCACCCATTTGTCAGCCGGCACGTTCGACGTAGTTGGTTTGTTGCCGAAAAAATATTTTTAACAAATGTGGCACGTAGAGAAAATGTTTTGAAAAGAACCAGAAATCTCAGTGCTATGCTTATTGCAGAAACAAATAGTAGTTATTATTCATTATTGGTGAGTGTTGTTTAGAGATAAGTGGAGTGTGTCTTTGTTGGCGCTGTGGTTATTTCTCGGTTTGGCGGGTAAATTGTTGTCAACATTTATTCAATACTGCGATTGTGTCTTGCTGCATGCGATGAAGTGTTCATTATAATGGGCATTACGTACGAACCGCAACACGAAGGTTTAATTCACGAATGTGAAAGATGTGGCGCGGGGTATGAGAAGTGAGAGTTGTGAAGTGAAGTGCGGAAACAGAAAACGTAAATTTATTTTCTCCGGACTGAATCCCAGAAATAAATTGTGATGTGCTTTGTGAAATAAGATTTGTGGGTATTTTGACATGACATCGAAATATATAACTTGCACTTCATGATGTATACCTGATACGATATTTTCAATAAAAAATAATAAATTACAGTTTTTAAATAGGACTCTCATTCATTACGTACGTGTGTGAAATGATCAGCTGATCAGCTGGACGAGCAAATCCATAATATACTAAGCTTCTGTTTCGCACCACTAGATGGCACGCCGTAGAATTATACAGCACGCCGGCATGTGCAACATAACCTCTAAGTGCTTTCGGTCACGTAGCTCATGTGTACGAATCTAGTGGCCTTTGCTTAAAGCTGCTGAACATTACAGCAATGTTTAAATTAATGTGATTGTGGTAATGTAAGTATACTTCCCCGTTTTTTGTTACTGCAAACGCTATCAGGCTTTAGGCCAGTTTTTGGTATCGATTGCAACGTATGCTCACAACGTATGATTTGTATCGAAATCACTCATATTCATAAGTGCATAGTTTGCGATTATCCTATCATTAATATTAGTTTATCTACGCGCGCAGTTATTGAAACCAGTGCCAACCTTGCAACCTCCACTGTAGTGATTATGTTGGTATGACCTCTTGAACCTTTCTCCTAGTGCCTAAATTAGAGCTTTGCATTTTCATAATTTTATTTATAGGCTGATGTCAAATTTTATCAGATAGTATTTGTTCGAATGTTTGCTGTTGGGGAAACTTTTCTTTTTAATTTTTGGCCACCACATTCATTCATCGTATTAGGTTATGAGGGTGTTAGAAAAGACACCACTCATTATTCTTCATCTTTCCTCCCAAAAGCTGTTGTCATAAATCAAACGATTTGTTCTGTAAATGACTTCAAATTGTCATGTGTGAAACAATGCCATTAAAGCATGCCTAGTGGTACACGGTGTGTACCATGAAATTTGTTTGTTTGTCAGTGTGTAACAAATATTGCTTCTAATTAAACGTTTGATAATGTTGTGCTTCACTAATTATATTTCATAATTTTTGCACTAATCTTTTGTGCTGCTTATACAATAAATTGTTCAGAATATGACCTTGTTCAGATGAGAAATTAAATATTACCTTGATCTATGTAATTTCAGAGCATGCATTGAAATACCTTTTCATGGTTTACTCACAAACTGCTGAGTTGTAAACTTTGTTTGTATTTATGTTTATGTTACAATGGTGTATAGCTGAACAAGTGTTTACTGGGATGCTTTGGATGTCATGGTTGACAAGTTTTGTTAAATGAATGCTTCAGCTTATGGAGGTATGGTTTAATACTTGCATCTGGTGTATTTACACTTCAACTAATGCTGCCTTGAATGTTATTGAAATGTAACACAGAAGACCAAAACGGGTTTGACCTCTACTTCGGAATTGCTATTGGAAACATTTGCTGTTTTTGTTAAAACTGCTTAAGGGAATTTATTTGCTTACTTGTCAGACTGTGGAATAAACATTTGGAAATAAATCTGATTTTTTATATTAATTTTTTGTAGTGTTATCATGGTTATTACATCCTACCACTTCCAACTGAGCCATAACCTATAGCAATATTTTCCTGCTTCCAATCTTGCTCCATAATGGTTCTAGGCTTAATACCACAAATATAATGTAATAAAAACTGACAAGTATTTTACAATTGAATTACCGTATCCTAAAATATTGTGTTTTATTTTATCCCAATCAGCACCTCCCGTTCCCCAATTGCAGTATTACTAATATTGGCATGGTTTGAACATTCTCATTAGTAGGTAGCTTTCTAGGTTTTAGTACAGGCCTGTTCTCCTGTCCATACAGTGTCGATACAGAGCATGCCATACATTGTAGAGTTGAGATAGCTCATCTGGTGAGAATTTTTCAGTTGATATGAAAGTGGGCCTGACAAGTTAAAGGAAATTGCATATGAGAATGTGCCCCACTCGTAATGTGCATGTGTATGCAACACATTGGCTGCATAACTTTACATGCAGAATTGACATGCTACTTGTAGGCAGTGCTCATAAATTTTTCATCAGCATTTTGATCTTTGAAATTTTTACTTCGCATACTCAAAATTGCAGAATGTTTTTGCATAATTTCAAGTGTAAATAGTGATATGATGAGCTACAAATTATTTGAGAAATTAAAAATTTTCTTCAACCAAGTGTGCATGTCTTGTGTGTAATGGAATAGAGAATGCTTGCGTACGGATTTCTAGATGCCATGTTAATATTGATGCTGCTTTACCTTTCACACAAAATTTTGTGTCTGAATATTGTGCATATAACTAGACAAGTTTTTAATAGCCAATAGAAACTAACTACCATTGAAGATTTGTGGATTTGTAATACAGTTTTAATTTGTGAACTCATGTTGATGACTTGTTTTATTTTCTTCACATAGCTTTCTTTCAATTGATTCATATTCCTTGTATGTTGACAGGTAAAAAAAAAACCTTAATTATTGATTCCTGTGTTGCATATCTTACCATCAAAATATTAAGAGTAGTAGAATACACTACATCTCGTGTTACCTTCCCCACAGACACAACAATGATAATTATTTTTTACATTAGGATGGTTTGATTGAGATTGCAAAAATTATGTATTAAAAATATTCAAAATTGATATACCACAGTCCTTTTAAAATATTTGACAATGGACAAACAAGTTAATTTTAAGAAATTCGCTGCTAGTAATAATTAAGTTTGAAAAGAGAAATGAATGATTAATATAAATACACTGCTTGTGCTGTTTGCTTGAATTCACAAATGCATGAAAATCAGAATCCAGTCTGGTGGTATGGTGGGTGAATGTGGATAAATATGGCAAGGTTGTTACCTATAGGATTGACAGTCCTTTCCATTCATAATTTTCTGTAATCTTTGTGAAATTTTGTTAGATATAAAAATTCTTATGCTAGAAGTACTAGGGAAAACTGGAAGGCATCATCCCCAAATAAGAATTTGAACTGTGGACTCGGTGAGTATTGAGACATGAGAAATCTTTCAAATATTGCTACTGCCTCAATGAGGTCAATTAAAAAACCATGTTACGACTTCACTTCAACCGTCTCTGCCTAAAGTAGTTTCTCAGTAAATAGATTGTGATGTGTACATAATAAATATTTCACTGTTATATTGACCATTTTACTGCTTTGGGGTTGAATGAATTTTTTCTAATATTAAATGCTACTATTAAAATGTTCTAGATTTGTGTCGGTGTGTTCTTTTGTGTCAGTCTTTTAAAAGAAGTTAGTCTGTGTTCTAATCGTTCTGATTTTCGGGCAAATACATCTATCGTTCAAGTTTTTATTTATTTTTTTAATTAATTTTATTAATTAATTTCAAATATTAGAATTGTAAATTGTGGAAATACGAAAATTTGCTAGCACTTTATATTGCTCTCCTTTTCTGCTCAAAAGTATTGCCCCGAAAACCGTGAGCACGAGAGGGTGAACAGTTGAGTGAAGGGGGGGTGGGGGGACTTGGCGCTGTGAGTCGTGCACGTGGCGCTCACGTGCGCGACCGTAGTAAGGAGACCAACGTAAAAGACTTGGTATGTGATTGATGTAACAACCACTATCCATTCAGTGTCTTCTCGCTGATAGTTTTGTAATATATTGAAGATTGGAATTCGATTGCGGTATAGCACAGGTGTACAAGAAAAGGTAAGAAGTAGAAAAGTATTTTGGCCTTTCTTTGACAAGTGTACATTGATGTAAATGATTAACACAATGGAAATGACCCAATATGTAATTGTCTTAAATAACCCAACGTGAGAGTTATCTTTGGAAACTCAGATAGACAAATGTTTTCAATCTGTATTACGAACGGTGCATAGTATAATACTTAAATTTTTGTTATGGGTAGTTACGGACCAATGTTGATGCCGAAAGAGGACGGGTGGGAAATAAAATATGCCGAAGGAATTACTATTTATTTCTATTATTTTCTATTATACAAGAATAACTATCCACGAGCCGCGCCCAATTGAATATACAGTCGACTCCAGTTATAGTGAACTTCTGGGGACTAACATTTTTTGGTTCACTACATCCGATGTCAAAATTAAATATAATTTCACTACAATGATTCATTTTATTAGTATAGAGATCAGCAAAATACATTAACAGCACCAACTGAATATTTCAATATCTTAATTTGACCTTCAAACAAATCAATTATTTTCAATCGTTTGCTTCGTATATCTTTCAGTAGTAATTTCTCTAGATCCTTCACGCGTTCGTTCCATACTTTCCATACTTAATTCTGCGTTGTCCACTGGCTCCAAGTAGCAGTCTTGATACACATCAATGTCTCTTGCGCTGTTACTCGTACAACACCGTCACACTCTCCACAGGCCCCTTTTCGTGTCTAATAACATACGAGAACCTTTTGGTAGAGACATGGTGCAAGCGGCTAATGAAACTGATCGCCGAATGAAACATTCCGGGTTCGCAGTTCCACTTCAGGGGAGAGTACTTGGATTATGACCTTTGGACGACGATATTGTTTTCCAAACTACCTGAAATTTATGACACTGAGACGATTTTTTCAGGACGTATTTCCTACGTTCATTATAGCAATGTTGAGAGTTCACTTCAACCAAATCTTCTTGTGCTTATTTGTAACGTAAATGAAACGGGACCAGTGACTTAGGTTCGCTATAACCGAGAGTTAACTATAAGCGGAGTCGAATGTACGATGCCAACCGGGGAAAGAGGAGAGGGTGTTCTCTCCGGAACCTCTCCCCCTCCTGTTGGTTCAGATCGGGTATAGTTGTTAACTTCTGGATTATTACTTCAAGGACAAGGTAGTTGAAATGCAGTATGAATGCATATAAATATGAAATGCAATATGTCGATGAAACTTCATTTTCATTGAAGATTTGCTTTTCTGGTTTGTTGCTATAAATTAGCAGCTCATAATTGAACGTAAAGAAAATATACACTGTTATTGTATACCTTCAGGTCATCATGTGAATCAATGATAACGTTACCTTCACCGCCGCCGGGGTAAATATAAACAAAACAAGGTATACAAATGATAAGGCTTCATGGACACCATTACTTTTTGCGCTCTACTTTGAATTGACTTGCGACACTTTTCATTTCAAACTTGTACAGGTGGTGCTACAGAACGGCGCAGACATTCTCGACAAGTCAGTTTCCATTCTCTTAGCTTTTGGGTTTTGCCCCAACCCTCCTCATAGCTCCTGTCGATCGGCACTTATGTGACCTACCAATGCCACTCGCGGTACCTAGCGCTCCTCTTGGGAATATTCCCAGTGCTGAGCACCGTTGTGCTCCTCGAACCTATCTCGACCTTATACTTTAACAAATCTCCCCAATAGTATTCCTTGGTTCCATATTGATGCTTGTACCATTGTTCTCGGTGTTAGATCCAGTCACACAATTTAACACAAATATTACACTCTGTTACGTGTCAGGCTAAGAGACTTCTGAAGGATTATGGTATAAAAGAAATACACGAGGGTCTCGGAATGTTTCCCATCCTCCAAACACAGCTGAAAACATTAGTCTTCCACGGGTTTCTTACCCACAGCCTGTAGTGCCAACGTACTTGAGCTCATCTGCGACAAGCCCCTGTCACACGAGGCTGAATCACTTGTTGGTACTAATTGAAATTGAGGTACGGCTGTTTGGCATAATAATTTGATGTAAATAATAATAATATTTCTAAATCTAACATTTTTATGCATACGTGCCCTTTAATGTGATTTATTACATTGAATTTACGTTTCCTAAAGTTGACACTAATCGTTTCCATAGCAACAATGGAATAGTTTATTTTCAGCATTAAAATCTATCAATATCGCACCTAGTAACGAGTAATTATCTCAGAATTAACTAACACTGTCGAAAATGTTGTGGAACAAAATATTTACACAGTGTATAAATTAACGCAATACTTTAGTTTACAAACAAGTAATATTTATATTGAGAAAATTGTTTGATAAAAAACAGGTACATTTATTTTCACATTTTGTTAATTTTTCGATCCCTTAATAGTAGAATGGAAATATTATTTAAAAAAATCGTACAGTTAAATCTGTTTTTATAGGGACATTTTAATTGGAAATTTGTTTTGAGATTTTTGAAAAATGCTCGTTTGACTTATTATGAAAATGCGTGATTTCACAGAATACTTGAGTTTTCCAGAAACTTCAAAACTTATTATTTTGAAGCACTTTCACTCAGGAATGCAATAAATTATAGAATCAATGTATATTTGACGTGCGAAATATTTAAAAAAAATACATTTGTGAAAATTTTGAAAAATAAAATGGTACATCAAACTGATTTTGATGTCATTATTCAGGGCATTTAGCTATACTCACGCGAAAAAGTTAAATGAAAAAAATTGGAAACATTTATGAAAGAATCCTGTTTTAAAATTGTATATTCACTCAAAATAACGCGAAAACTATTAACATTAAAAAAGGACATGATCATAATTAAATAACTAATTGTGACGACGAATTTTCAATTGAAGGAAAACTCTTGCTGGTAAAAAATCGTGTTGAACGCAAAGTGTTGTCCCTCCAGTGAATTCGTTGCAATAAGTACTCGCAAAACCGCAAATATCAACCTCAAGATTAGCGCCAAGCAGTAGAATTTCTTAGTGCTTACAAACCAAAGAACGGAAAAATATTTTCAGTTATTGTCGTTATAAATGGTGAGAATATTGGATATGAAATTGATGTAAGAGAAAGTAGAGGAAATAAGATTTCTAATTATTGTTCTTGTAATGTCTACAGGTAGTTGTTGGAATGTTAGATAAAATAATTCAAATGATTGCTGATTTCATTTGAGCTGTGGGGTTGAAAACGTGTTATTCCCTTGCCACTGTATAAACGAGTTAAGATGTTGGCAATTACTGCTCTTCAATCATTGACTTATAGGCAACTTTATTTATAAAATTATATTGACTTATAGGCAATTATATTTATAAAATTATTTGAAGAATATACCACGTGTGTGATATCTAAGTGAACTTGAATACTTACATCACTACATCATCAGTGAAAAAGCATAGGTGCAATTTCTATCATTTGTGGAGTACGACCGATTGAAACGAAGCTTAATTACAATGGAAGACCAGTTAAAAATGAATGTCCGCACTTTGCATGACACGAAATGGACGTAAAAATTGCAATATTCTACACTAAAATTTAACGATTTCATAGGACTTGTGTCGATAAAGAAGCTGTATGAAGAGGTGAATTATTTTGAGAAAATGTGAACGAAATGAAATAATAAAATATACTGAAAACCGTAAGAGCTAAATGTTTTATACAATGATTAAAATCGTGTGATAAGAAAGTCATAAAATCACACGTCTTAGAATGTGTTTTCTAATTGTTTTTAGAATTTGTTTGGACATTTTATACAAATTTCAACGTCGAAATTTTTGGAGGTGAAAGAAAATGAGATGATTCTGTTATGATGTGCAAGGTTAAGATCATATCACTTCTTGAATTACGGAACACATGCGTACCGTCGCGGGTAATAACCCCTCACGTCGAAATCTGTTCGGTTGCCAATAGAAAGAGTGCACACGAACAGCATTACTTAATTACAAAATAATTTTTGAAGGAACTTTATATTGTGCTAACAGAATTGAATTTATCGAGTCGGTTGAATTCCATTTAAATAAAAAAGGAAGAAATCGTCCTCTGCATGTGTTTTGCGTTCATTGTAGGAATGTTTCTCAGTTTTGAATTTGAAAGTGCATGATTTTTGAAATGACTGCATAATGATGAATTACCTTGGAGGTGTATTTGAAATTTCATTGGAACACCTTGATGAAAAGGAAATGCAGTGAAAAATGTCTCGTACATTAATATTGAGTACGAGACGTGTGGAGTTGGAGAAATGCTGTTCGAATGTGCTTTCAGTAAAAGAATATTAAAATTTTAACAGTAATAGGTTGACGACAATTTGTTGTTCTTGCACTTCTTGGGGGCGAAAATTTGATTGCTGTATGAACTATTAGGATGCTCTAATTCACCGAGTTAATATTTTTCATTTATTAGCATTTAGTTTATAATATTTATTTTATACTCACTGGTGAATTGCTGCAATTTACAGAAATCAGAGAAGTCATGATCAGAACGAATCATTAGTCTGTGATTTATTTTTCGAAGGTATTTGTTAATTAGGAACGAACGAAGATGTTTTTATATCAATTAACTTTTTAGATGTATTTCACGCATGATCTCACATTATTAGAATAAACTATTTCTTCATTTCTCAAGACATTCATTATACACATAAAATAGTTGCTATCATGAAGGATGACAGGTGAATCATGAGAAACTCTTCTTGTTAGTTTATATCCGATTAGCTGCTAAAATTGGACGGTTGGACTATTTCCATTCATCTGTGGTGTGGATGGGAATATTTTTTCTTAGTGCCTTACGTCCCTGAATCTCAGGACGTAACTAGGTTAGACCGGGGCACGAACTTAGGAGGGGAGGGAGACTTGATTTCGAAAGAAAAGAAATAGAATTGAAGTCGTTTCCATTTTAGTACAAGAGTTAATAACAAATTAATCATCAGATTTTTCAATTGGCAAAATCTGAGGCTTGCACGTTCAATATTTCCTTTTACATTTTCCATAATAGCTGCAAATTTAATGAAAA